AATCATTCCCATCACGCGATTGCCGTTTTCGTCCCGACCGGCGAACTCCAGGCCGAGTATACACTCCTGTAGTGCCATATCGTCGGGCAGAGCATCGGCTGATAGTTTGCCTGTAAATTGCCATCAATTCTACATTTAGTACAGTTTTAACTAAGAGATTGATGAGAGAGAGAGAGAGAGTTAAAACTACTCGGGTAAAACTACTCGGATAAAACTACTTGGGTAAAACTACTCGGGTAAAACTACTTGGGTAAAACTACTCGGATAAAACTAAACTACTCGGGTAAAACTAAACTACTCGGGTAAAACTAAACTACTCGGGTAAAACTACTCGGGTGAAACTTATAAAGGTATTGGATTAATATCTAAAAGAATATTCTGTTAGAATTGCAATAAACCTATTGTAATCGGTTTATTCTTTAATTCCTTTACCTTCGTATATAATTTTCATAAATATATTAATTATTTTGTGTTTATATTTAGAGATTACATAACAGTTATCACAGGATTAAGTATATTCTGTTGTGTTTAACAAATACAACATTTATTAAGAGATTCACAATTGAATTCTGTTATGTATTTATACATAAATAAATTACACTGTTATCTATCAATAGAGTACAACAATAATTATTAATATGTAGTCCAAAACATAAGCCCAAACTTAATAGGATTAATGAATTTTGCAAATCAAAAGTTATTAAGTTAAATATTTATGAACATGAATTTTTAACTAAAACACTAAAAAGTCGGTTTTTTGTCTGTTGTTTTCTAGTGCTCAACCTTCATGCAAACGTTTAATCTTAATGTTATTAATTCATAATAATCTAAATCTTATTATTTATAAATAAAAGTATTAATTTAAATACCAGGACAACGAGGACTCGTATCTGAGCGACCACTGCATCGACGGTCGAGTGCTATAAGGCCGGTGGCCAATAGACGAAGACCACACCTTTGTTAACCGGTTTGTTTACCCACAATTTGTGATACTCAACGGGTATCAGTTTGAGAGCGTACGGCTACACAGGGCTACTATACTGGCCAAAGTAGGCGTAACTAAGTTTGACGTTCACATACTGGAGACTAGTGGCCAGTTCTCGGTCACCGAATCGGGAACAGTGGCCGTTACGGGCCGTGTATTTGCCGCACAGAAGCCGTACCAACAGTTTGAGTATATGTTGAATGAAAAGTTGGCAAAAAATGGTCACCTTTTTAACGACGAAACGGATCTCATTCTCGGCACCAAAGATGTCTACAAAGAGCTTCGACTGCGGGGCTATGATTACGGCCCGAACTTCCAGTGTCTGTCTAAAGTGGTGGCCGACGACGACAATCACTGCGTCCGGGCGTCCATCCAATGGACCAACAATTGGGTCACTTTTGTCGACTCAATGATACAAATGGTTATTATGGGTCAGAAGTCGCGCGGACTTTACCTCCCGGTCCGTATCGACAGTTTGCGATGCGATCCCCGGGTGTTGGCAATCAATGGCCAGCAATTATCTTCGGACGAAACTAATGGCGTTGAATGTCCCGTACTTTTCGACTCTTATACTGGCGTTGGAGTGACAAAAGGACTCGAGTTTAGGGGTATTAAAGCAAATCTGGCGCCGAGACGTCTGTCATCGCATTCACCACTCGTTGAAGACTACCGTTTCGTGCCGTACGACGAGGTGTGCGAACTCCGGGACGACACAAACAGTCAGTGCCTCTATAAATACGCTATGGATTGCAATACATTGGCCGACAAAGTGGCCAAAAGATTCAGTAAACCATCCGACGAGACAATTGATGTCGTAATTGATCCCCAAATAAACTCATCCAAAGACAGCGCCGATTGTGATGAAGAGGACAACGATCACTACTTATATCACTTATTACGAGACTTGTATTCGTTAAAAAGCGCTCAAATTGATGCCAATTTGCGACAAGAATTGAGCCAAAAGTTTATAACAACTCTCGATAACGATATACTCAACAAGTATTGCATTAATAATGAATACATAATGCGCTCACAATTGGAAACAGTGGTCGAAAATATTGTTTCCAATACTAATCGTGCGGTAAATGTGCTGGAAGTTAGTCAGTGCGGCGCCGGGAGTCAACCATTAGCCCAAACTATACTCAAACTATTGGGTTATATGTTGTACACAAATATTAGGGTAAATTATCAGTTATTGCATCCGCGGCCCGATTCTCTATTACAGGAACTATTGAGTGGTATTGAATACCATAAATGGTTAGTCGATAAGTCGAGACTACCTCCTGATATCACTGGATTGGATCTGATTATATACGAAGACAGGATCGTCGATATGACAGCACCGGTAGTTAATCTCCGCGTACTATTTGAGTCCTTATGGAATGGACTCAAAGACAACGGATTTTTAATAATTGTTTTTAAACATAAACTGTGTTTTGCTGAAGAAGTGGCGCTAAATGTGTTTAATAACAGCAATAATGATAAAAATTTTGCCCAATATTTGATCCAAAGAGACGCCGATATCATCAAAGAAGCAGAAAAAGTGGGCTTTTCTTTGATCTCCACTAAACTCATTGACGGCTTAACGACGAAGAAGTCATTGATTTTGCGTAAAACACACACCGTTTCCAACAGTGATGTCCAAAATCATACGTTTATAACAGTTAGCGAAGACACGTGCGGCCAATGGATGGACTCATTGCAGCGCTCGTTGCGTGACATACAGAGCCGTCCCGAGGGCCACAACGTGTGGCTGTTGGCCACCGACGGCCCCACCAATGGTGTCATCGGTTTAGTGAATTGCCTCCGAAAAGAGCCCAATGGACACAGAATTCGTTGCATTTTTCACTATTGTCTCAATGATGACAGCAATCGCTCGTTTGATCCAAACATAATCGCCACTATCGTGAAGAAGGATCTGGTGATGAATGTGGTAACACATGACAACACAATCGGTTCATTCAGACATTTGGCTTTGGATACGAGTGCGGCTCTGGTGTCCGCACAGCACTGTTATCTCAATGTCAACACTAGAGGCGATTTGTCCAGTTTTAGGTGGATTGAAGCCCAGCATAAATATTGGCCAATGGGTCGCACACCAGACCAGACACTGTGTCACGTGTATTACGCGGCGCTAAACTTCCGAGATATTATGCTGGCCACTGGTTAGTCTCTCTCTCTCTCTCTCTCTCTCTCTCTCTCTCTCTCTCTCTC